ATCACCACCCCGGGGCTTTCAGGCCTCAGACCCTCCCCAAATCATCCTCCAAACTGTTTTAATATCCTAGAAACGAAGCCAAGCAGCAGCACAGGCAGGTACTGAGCTAACGCTGCGTGCAGCGCAAGGGGAGGAAGGTGCGTTAATTAAAACTGGACAACACTAATGAGCAGCTCTCTCGTGGCAGGGGTGATGTGTGCATGTACCTGTTTTAAATAAAGTGCAAGAACAGAAAAAAGTGAGTTTGCTTCCTTGTCTGATTAGTACCATGAAACTGTGCAACACAACTGTGATGCTACAGCTTTATCTGATACACAAAAATAATCTTCACTTAATGTCAAATTCAGGTGGAAGAACATCTGCCTGCACCAAAGTCCACAGCTTAAAATCAGTGTTTGAAAGAAATGAGCATATTCAAACAAAAGTAAATGACAAGCCTTTGATGATTCCATTTATCCAGCTTTAATTGATTTATAACCACATAATTCTGTACAGCACAAGCCTGAAGCTGGTCTCTCAAGGTATGAATAGTAGTGTAAGGAACCTTTAACCCCTTGCTCAGAAGTTGGAAGCTGGTTTTGAAGATGTAAACATTTTAAGAGTGCTTTGTACACTCTTCGTCATCCCTAGGCAGGAGAATTAGCTGAAAGGTATGAAGAGGAAAGACTGAGCTACAGGCGAGGTGATTCTGGGCAATGATCTCAACACTACTTTAGGAATTTTAATTAAAAAGTGTACAAGTGATTATGTTTTAAAGAAGAGGGAACCTGAGGACACGCTGATCTCTGCACCCCCCAAACAGGAGCCAGGTTCTGGAAGCTTCTCCATTCTGAAACAAGTCCCCTTGTCAGTGCCACTCATCTCCAGAGGAAACGCTGTCACCTGCTCATTACATTTTTATGCTGTCACAGAAAATGCATTAGCCCTTCTCACAAGTTTTAATGACAAACGAAGAACAGACCAATTAAATACCTATTATATGCCCAGGATTTTGGTACTTGTGAATGTCCCTCCAATAACAAATAAGGAGTCCAAATGCATACTGACTTTCATGACAGAAGACAGTAATTAGAAGTGTAATTAAAATATATTCAGACAATTACTGTAGCCAGAATACACATCTGAATCCAAATTTACATTTAAACTTCTCCCTTAATTCCAAATCATCTTGGTTTCTGCTGGACAAGCAAGAAGATCACATTTTCATTATGATATATAGAAAAATACTCATGATTGGGCTCTTATCATTAATTAGTTACCAATAACACTGCAAGTCTGTCAAAGGCAGTTTGCAACATGCTACACCTTGAGCAAAAGCTGGGTGAGAGAACTACACATGATTAAATTAGAAATTTAAATTAGATAGGAAAAACCAATTAAAAGTGTTCCCAAAATCTCAGCCTCAAAAAATAAATTAAAACAGCATTCAAAACAATTTAACTTTTAAATGGAAAAGTGAATGTGTTTGCTTAAAAAAAACCCCTAAACATTGGATTCCTTTTCCATGGAATTTTACAGTCCCCCTAACAACAAAAACAAAGCCTTTGTTATTCAGATTGCATCACTAGGTACGAATTTTATTTCCCACACTTTGAGAGACACGTAAAGCAAGAATAGTCAGCCCACTGGAAACGATTTTAGATGGGAAACCTGCACACACTCAGCAGCAGTAACGTCAGCAGCCGGCACACTGCTACATAATTCACCAGCAAAGGTTCTTCTGGGGACATCAGCCCTTCCCTTGTCAGGTATTTGGCCAAAATAATTAACACAAAACTTAGTGTTACATCAAGGAGCTCTGCAAAACACTTGCAATCTTTGCAAGTTCCAGGTGAAGTGCAGTGAGTGGGTGAGGACCGAGCCCCACAGGGTTCCCACACTGTTTGCATCATCTTTTACAGGCAGCTCAGCATCAGCAAGATAAGGGGAAGCAGCTCCAGGACGTGGGGTCGAGAGTGAGGACTGAAAACACAACTGTATCCGACAGCACTATGGCATTATAGCGACTACACCTTTTGAAGATATCCACACAGACTTCAGAAAGTAAGAATTACAGATTTTGTACAAATAACCACCCCATTATATACATGCAGTGCCAGGAGAACTTGGGAAGGTCTGTACCACCATTCAGACGCTGCCTGCAGATGCTTGTTTGCTCTTCCACTTTTTTCTTTCTATAATTTCTTCATCAAACATTTCTCTCTCCCTGAAAAGAAATACACAGAAGTTCTGTAGTAAAAACCATCTCAACAGTGTCACAGTAACCCAGCAAGAATGTTTCCCACATTTAATCATTTTGTTACCTTGACAATGAGGAAGCCAGCCTCACAGAGGGGAGGATACTGAACTCTCCTGCCCTTACACTCAACACTTTTCCATATAAACAGCAAAACAGTAAGAAAAAAAAAAAATCAGAGAATATGAAAAATAAACAGATACCTTTTGCTCACAGCTGGTCCTTTGATGTATTTCTCTTCTGCCTTCTTGTAATCTATGTCATCCACAACAGAAATCGCATAAATGATGGCCTGTAAAAGTATTTAGTTCATTTATACTCATGAAACAAACACTAAATGACAACGAGTGATTTGAAAGTGTCTCAGCAGATGAGCCCATTTTGAAAATACAGTTCTTCAATCACTTAGGAAACTTGTGAAACTGCTTGTTGAGTACCTGAAGTTCTTAAATAAATAGTACAAACTTGACCTCCAATATCCCCAGCTGAATATTTTTACAACCAGATTAAGAAACTCTTCATAGTAATTTGGTTTCTCCAGAAGTTACCAATGTTCTCCCAGGACAGTTCCTGGGAAGAACAATAAGTATCTAAAAGTATAACTGTAAAAACAACCAGCCCACCCCCCAACACACACAAATAGCCCGAGAAAACCCAGAGACAACTTGCCAAAGCTTTGAAGACTTTCAGAAGTAATCAAAATACACCAGAAAGCAATCACCTTGCCTTTAAGAACATCGTACTACCTAAAGCTTCTCCATTCTGTGCTAACAGCTCAAAACCCAGCGTTTCGAATCTCACCCCACCCACAACCCTGCCAGCCTCCCAGCACCACTGTCTGCAGCACCTAACGAGCAATACTGGGGCTTTATTCTTCTCCAACATGTAACAAACTGTTGTTTTCTGATGACCACAAACATGACTTAAAGAGTCTCCTGCACTGATTTTAACACTCTTTGCCCAAGATATACACAGAAACAAAATGCAGGTTCATGTCCTTGAGCTGAAGGTAGGCAGGATGAATACACCTGCCCGTGTCAACCACCACCCAGCTCCCGGGGAACACTCTGCAGGTCAGTAAACTCAAAGCACATAACCCAGTGTTATTTGATTACTTACTTTAACATTTACTTTTCTCACTGTTTACTTACTTCAGGCAAAAGGACATCGGAAATAAATTTTATTCTGTCTCTCTCTACGTGATACAGATTTTCAGTGTCTATTTCATGATACACTTCCTTCAAGTAGTTCACTACCAGGTCTATTTGTTCTTCATCCTCTAAATACGTTTCAACGCAGGTCATGTACTGACTTGAATTCAGGAATTCCTTCAGCCACCGGGATGGTTTTCTGCTTTTCAAAATAGACAAAAGATGCTCTTCAGCCCCCTTAGTCTTCACTATAAACTCCACTATCTTTTTATTTGCTTTGTCTCTAGCAGCTCTTGTTCTATCAGGAAGAAGTTTCTTGGCAGGCTTCTGAGGTGAAGTTTCTGATGGAGACTCTTCAACATCATCTTCCTCTGCTGCGTTTGGAAAGGTCATTTGGACCAAACTGTGATAACCTTCCTTTCTAACCGGGTAGCCTGAAAAGAAAAGGCACAATCATTCTTAAATACACAAAACAAATGGCTCTCACATACCTAATTACATATACAAATATAAAATAAGGGACTTTCTTGATAAGAGAGGTTTTTCTTCCTCTTCTACCACAGTGGGTAAAAAACCCACCACCAACAAAATCTTAATTTTGCCTTAAAAAAGATTAGGGAGTTGAAACTCTGATGGAAGCTCTGAAATGAACTCACTACAACATGAAGTAACCAGTTACCTGATTGTCTTTAACAATCAATACTTATTTAACTTTTGTTGTGGGGCTGAAAAACCTTAAAGTGCAATAATGGTGTGTGGTAATTTTAGTGGTACCCCCTCAGTGGGTCTGCTGACAAACACGTGGCTGAACATCAGAGCTAAACCCACCCACTAAGTGAAGAAAACAGGAAAGAATTAATTCACTTACTGATATCAGCAGCAAAATATTCCAAGAAGGATCCCGTAAAAGAATGGCAACCTAAAAAGCCCAGAACAGGGTTACTTATCAACCAGTTCAATGAAGCCTATGAAACAAAGCTGACAGTTTTGGTGTCATCTTTTATCTGCTGGATATCAGAACGGATGACATCATCTGACTCATCTGCTTACCCACTCTAATCCGATAGTCAGAAATCAATCGGACACACCACTCAATTTCCTGCCGGTAATTTTCTTTGGCTCGTTCCTACAAAACAAGAACCATTTACAGAGTCCTAAAGAGAGAGGAACCTAGTGAAGCTTTTAGGTCTGGGGCACTAACCAGGTAACAGAAACGGCTAACGATAATGAATCAAAGTTTACTTGCAGTTTTCTGCACTCTCCTGAAATTCACCTCCTGCCATCGCTTTGCCATGCAGCGCGAGAGCGGCTTTGGTGTAGGTAGAAAAGCCACAAGTGAAAACACAGTCAAGAGCCCTAAACAACCACCCACCTTCCACATACACAGGGACTCTTAGCAGCAGTTTCACTGAGATGGAAAAAGGCATCAGGAGGATCCCATTCCCATCTAATTCTCCATTTTGTGGAGCACAAAGCATGTTTAATTACTTTGTTTAGAACAGAGGGAGAGAGAAAAAAGAACACGAACAAACCCAGCTGCGCTGCGCTGCACTCCTCCCGTGAGCTCAGTTATACATTGTGTATACAACTGATTCTTCCCCAACACATATATAACACTCGCAGTTGTATGTTACTGGTAGTACTTACTATGAGGTCCTGCTTTTCCTCACAATCGAAGTGCTTCAGATTCTTAAGAGGTACTGAGAAACTTGATGAAACAGAGAAACACAGTTAGGGAAAAGAGGCAGCTGACATGCACTCGTATTTATTTACTGCAATTCTACACCTCCCTGAAAATGAGATTTCATAAGGAATTTGGGAACACAGGTTTTCCTAGTTTTGGTTTTCATAATAAGCTAAAAACCATGGAATCTTTTAACACATGAGAAGTACCTGGTTTTAAAAGAAAACAAAAGGCAGGCCTGTGTTTCCAGGAAGTTTGGTCACCACATGGAACATACGCCAGCTGCTCCTCAGCCCTTTCCATTCCCCACCTACACATCAGGTGTTTGCAGGAACGCCAGCCTGTCTCAACTGGCAGCATGACAAAGCACGTAGCCCACACCTGCAAAGCCTCACCTCACTTGGTCCCTCCCTCCCAGATCAACCTTAGTTTTAACTGGCAGTACTAATGGCCCTGTATCAGGAAACGAGTACAGGACGCTGCCTAAAAGAAACTGGAAGTTCAGAACAGGATCAGAATCCACATTTACCCTTTTTTCTTGTCATTTGTGTTCCCTTCTATGAACAGCACACAGGCCTTCCTGCATTTCCGCTTCACCCTTTTTACCTGTTGAAAGGATAAAGTCTCATTAGCATCCTAAAATCCTAACACCCTTACAAAGCAGGAACACTTTCCATTGGCATCACACAGTACACCCCACACTTAAAGGAAGTTACAGAAATATGAAAAATTAACTTTAAAGTGACAAGAATAGCAAGTTACCCCACAGGAGTGTTTTTGTTAGCACACAAAGACCCCCCCTCTTTTGTTAGTTGGGTACAACAACCCTAATTCACAATATACAATACAAAGGCTCAGTAGCAATCCCCTGCTCTGATATAAACACACAGGAATCAACCACATTTATTTTTTTAATCTGCTTTTGTCAGATTTAAACTTACTTCTATTATCTTTGGGATGTTTCTACTGGAAGATCTTAAACACATCCAGCTCTACACAAGTCAGGAAGAGCAAAAGCCACTTAAGGACTTGGTAAGCTGCTCCTTATCAGACCCCCTGCAACACCACTGGAAGAAGGCAGCGAGCTGCTCTTACCACTGCTGGCCAGTAAGGATACCTTCGCAATTTGCACCAGACCAAAATCCCTTCTTCAATTGATTGTGGTTCTGTGACAAAATAAAGTGAATTTTCTTTAACATAAACCAGGACTAGACAGTTAGCTCACCCTCTTTTACCAGCCTCCCCTCAGGAGTTTCACTGCAATGCTTTTACAGGTTTCAACCGCTCACGATGTGGCACAGGTAGTTCTGAATCCAGGAACTCAGGCATTTCAATCCTGGGCCCTTGCCCAGTTTCACAGGGATTTGCATTTATTCTGTTTCCAAAAAGCCTTTCTGGGGCATTCAAGAAATGCATTTTTTTGTCTAAGCTTGAACAAAGCTGGACTCACTTTGTAGACAGGTTAGGTTTCATTGCCATTGCTTGTCAGCACACATACCCTAACAGAGCAGGCCAATCTCAAGTGAAGAAGTCTCATCTAGGTACACTGATCCCTCACCTTGATGTGATAAAATACTGGGAAGTTCTTCATCCTCCTCCTCTTGATCTAACAGAGCTGAGAGACGAGAGAGACTCTCCAAGGAAGCTATCTTTGAAGACAGGTCAGGCGATTCCAGTCCTGCTGAGAGCAACAAACACCAGCGTTCACAAGTGTGGAAGAGGGACTAAAAAAGCACCAGCTTCAGACCAGGTGAGACACACAACTGTGCGAGTGACCCTGCAGCAGCGCGAGTCACCGCGACACAAGGGTCTGTCACACCACGGGC